ACACACACACACACACACACACACACACACACACACACAGGAACATGAGCCTAATAAAATGAACTGAGTTCCTGAGTCAATATTGTTGCGGCCCCACCTGCAGTAACATGGGGGGATTCCTCCCTAAAGCCTGTGTCCAAGGTCAGCTGGACCGAGGATTTTAACTCAGATGTTGGGAGGGGAAAGTCATCCCACGTCAGATCAGACGCACCGAACAGATGGAGAAAATAAAAAGAGAGATGGAGACAAAGAATCCCATCGCGTGAAGCAGGAGAATTACTTTACCTCTTGCTTTAAATAGCCAAAGGACGCCAGGCTTACGGCACATTATCCACAGTATCAGAAACCTTGGTGGTAGGATTGCAGATGTATCATCAGAAACTCAAGTCCACCTCGTGTCTTGGGCTTACTTTGTGTTTCAGATTTTAAAAAGGGTTGATGACGTGGCCTCAAGTAAAACAAAAGGCTTGAAACAGAAGCAAGAGAAAAGTGTGGAGGAGTTCAGTCTATCTACAGGTTTTAGAAATTCCTTAAGATCCATATAATACTGCACAAACAAACAATATGTTCTATTTAAATATTGTATTCACAACGATATAAATGATGAGATATTAGTGTTTAGTCCAATCAGGTGAGGTAACTGTTCTGCTTTCATCGAAGAACAAACTATCGATCGACAGAAAAGTAATCTGCAAATATTTAATATGATTAATCTGACTTTTTCATGCAGAAATATCACCATCATACTAATTTTATGATCTACAATTACTTCTTATCAGAACAGTTTGGGTCGTTGAGGGTTGATTAAAGATGTAAAGTGTATAATGCACTTAGTAAAATTGGAAACATCCAAATAATAATCGCTTTAGCTGCTAAACTGGCTCTTAGGCTAAAAGATCTGCAGCATATGACTCCAGTCATATCTTTTCATGTTACAAATCCCTAAACAGACTCACATCAGAGCACAGACCACCATCATCTGATCAGTTACTGTCAGGGGGACCGATGGGGGAAACCTTGAGCTGTTGATTTATTGCTGACCTCTTGAACCGTCTACTGGGAGACGCGTCAAGTTAGAATGAGACCTATGATCATACTTCAGCCACTCCCAGTCAACCTAGACGTTTTGACCAAAGAAAGGAGCCAACTATTGAAATATTACTACGATGTAGGGGTGGGTGGGAAACGATTATGACTCGACGCAGAAAACTAAATAATCAGAAATTTAAAACTCAATTAACACGATCGGCTGTAACCATTCGGTGACACCAGGCTGTCCGTTCCTTACCGCTGCCCCTGAACGCAACAGACGTAATACACGTTTGTCTTGTTTATGTTCTAACTAAATACTAGCAGAGTTCTGGTGAGGGCGGCTGAGCTTGAGCAGCAGAATATGGATACAATCTGACCGGCACCGGCCCCCCCCCCCCCCGGCTTAAAAGCTAAAGTATGGAAGCATTTTGCTTCTTCTTCTGTCTAACTAGAAAAGAACGAAGCGAATCACAGAAGTAGACTGCAACTTTTTTTAGACAAGGATTTGCACTCCTACTCAGTAACTGAGAATCAGAGCTTTTGCGCCATGTTGCACACTTTGGAACCAACATTCATCTCAACGTCTTTACGGACACGTCGAGACTCTACAACCAAACCAAAGCTAAAGTCATGGAGTCACTGAGGAAAGCGAGTAGGGTGGTAGAAACTTGTGTGATTGTAACAGTGCACTTCATCACTGTATGTATAGTGTTTGTGTATCGTCACATGTTCCAGAAAGCTGAATGCTCATTGCCTATAATGAGGGGATTTGTTTGAAGAGAAGTCTTTATTATGTATTTGTGAATAAGAGCAGCTTGTTCTGTCACATGACTGAGAACACGTTGAATTCTGTGTTTTTACTACGAGGATGCTGCTAACGGCCCAACTTTATTTATTTTCTTGTTGGTTGTCTTTGCAATGATTGGAAATGTAATACTCCAATTGACACATTGCTTCTAATAGTTACTAATATTGAATTAATAAAAGATAATGGAAGTAAATGCATCTGTTTTTTAATTATGAATCATTACAAATATGCCGTGTTTTAAATATAGTCACAGGGAGAAAAAATGCCTCATGTATAGAAAATTGTTGCAAAAATGCATCAAGATGAATCGCTAATCGTTTTATAATCACATCGTAGCCCTATGAATCTGAATCAAATCGTGAGGTGCGTAGAGATTCCCACCCCAACTACAAAGCAGTTCTGTCTTACAACATCATCTTGAAGTTCGTACTGAAAATGGTGACAGCGCCGATCTGGAATGTATGTTGTTTCACTGACTATCCTGCAGAACAAAAACAACCTGAGCCACCAGGAGAAACAAAGGGAGGCAGCGGAGGCCTGTTGTCCTGACTGAATGAAATGACTAAATGCACACATTATATATTTTTTCTTGTTCATTGTAAATTTGTGTATGTACATCGAGAGCGAAGTGGAAACCGGAGTCATGGCCAATAACGCATACATGGCCAATAAAGCCGATTCTGATTTCCTCTGTGGCTGCAAAGAAAAGCCTCTTTGTTTCAGGTGAGTTTCTGCTTCAGTATCGAGCCGTCCAGCCACCAACCCCCCCCCTTTCCATCCAGCTCACCCTGTCATCCTGACAGAGCAAGGTATTGTGGGAAGGTATGGCATAAATCGTCTGGACCCAGTGGTGATGCCTGGCCACAAATCAGACCTGCTCGCTGTTGTGTCCGGTCGTACATTCACATACACAGACGCAGAGTGAACCCCATAGCTTATACGAGACATGACGTAGAGCCGAATCTCGTGTTTTGTCCATCCAAAGATATTCAAATTACAAAGAAATAAAACTCAGAAACGCACCTCCTCTTTACTTGCTATTTGGGGTTTTTGCTTGACTGCTGACTTAAATTTATCTAATTGATTATCTAAGAAATGGCAATTCATTTTGATTGATCGTTCAGATCAAAACATTATTCAAACTCCCGATGGCGGTAGAGACTGCCGTGAAGATGTCTGCACATGTACTCCTGATATATTTAACAACCTTTACAGCTACGCTGACCAAGGCGACGGCAGCGTTAACCATCATGGCAGCAGTAGCACCAATGTGCTATCTCCACGCTACATAAAGGAGCTGATGTACATGTAATAAATGTTTTCTCTATATCTTTTGTCTGTTTTCAAGAGATGCACTGAGACAAATTCCCATTAACCATGTTGACATGGCACACAAACAACTCGTTAAGTAGAGGCCCAGGCTGCTGACAATCACAGAGCAGCCATTGTTCTCCAATGAACAGCGCGGGTTCGGCTCAAAGTTAAGAGACAAAAACAGAACACAGCGCGATGCTGCTATTACGAGTTGGAGTGTGCAGAAATACAGAATGTGCTGGTGCATTCATAGGTCTGTGTTTCCAAAAATGCGAGTAGCTTATAATAGCAGTTAGAATCTAGACTTCCAATCATGCAACCGCAGAGTGTAGAAGGAATGGATGAAGTCACCGTGTGATCGCCCATCGTTTCTTGGACAAAGGTTATGAAGCCTAACGTTTTGCCTTTCGCCATCCGAACAATGAGCAAGACATTTTTAGGCAGCCAAAATGTTCAAATTAACTTTCAACTAAAACACATGTTTAAAGGGTTAAAGCTCTAAGATGAAACACGGACAACCCTCAAACGGACGCCGTAGAAGCGATCACAATGTAGCTAAAAGCACACTCTGCTTAATCATCCGTTTTATTATAAAAAAAGAGCCATAACCTACGTAGTGAATAGGTAGTTGGTAGTTGGTAGTTTTGGTATTAGTCGAATAAGATGGTTTCAGTTGGTTAGCCGTTTCTATGCTGATGTCAAGCTGTATGATATATTTCTAAGAAACTTATGAGCACATATCTAGCAAACAGGATTTAAAGTGGTACTGTGTGATTCTTTTGTTTTACAGAGCAAATCAGCTAAACGGTCAGTCGACAAAATTGTATGAGTGTTAGTCGACTAAGAATCTTTGTTTAAGAACAGCCCTAAAAATGAACACCATGCTGTGATGGAAAATACTTGAAACTAGCAATTGAGACCATAATTTCATGTTTACAATGTTTAATGAGGTAATAAATCAAGTGAGGAGTAGGGTCATTTTCTCATAGACGTCTAAACAATCAAACTTCTTTTTGCACCCAGAGGCGTCTGCCACTGGTGTCCATCTGAAAGAATACACTTTTAAGGCACTCCGGCATTGGCTTCACTTTACAGAACCGGAGGTCACCACTTGATTGCAATTAATAGCTGACAAGAAGACGCGAGTTTGATATTGGCCGTATATTGGCCTGGATATGATATGATTAAAAACACTGGAGTATGCTTCCTTAGATGTAGAATTAGTTTATTACCCCTGACATCTGCACAAGAATTGTTGAGTTTCACTAATAACAGCTTAACACCGGTCATAAAACAGTGCAACCTGAATGAGTGCAAATGAATGGAATTAGTCATGTGGAAATGCAGAGTGTCCTGATTTTATGACAGAAAAGCATGGAATCTGCAACAACGGTAAACATTAACAGGGAGACCTCTGACTAAAACACGATGGTACTCCAGTCATCCAAAAATAGCCGTGACAAAGTCATATCGGTTGAACTCTGGTTGAAACGTTCAAAGCGAGAGTCAGAAACTAACTGGATAATGAGAGGAAGCATTCACTTCTGCTCCATTTACTGATATTTTCACTCTCATTCTCGGTAACTATACAAGGAGAGAGAGAGAGAGAGAGAGAGAGAGAGAGAGAGAGCGAGAGCGAGAACATAGAGACCAGAAAGGTCACACATGCTCCTGGGCGTGTTTATGTGTATCCAAGTGTGTATGTATGTACAAGAAAGATCAATAACGGTCTGCAGTGGTTATGGGGAGGGGGGTGGGGCTGGTTAAACATGGCACCTTGTGATCAGGGCTATGGAGTTACATACAACACATGCATGTGTGTGCGTGCGCACACACACACACACACACACACACACACACACACACACACGAACGTGAGCACAACTGTGACCTTACCAGACATTTTTTACAAGGTCCCAACTAACGTGCGGAGAATAGAGGAGCAGTCTTCGGAAGGCGGCATGCACACATGCACGAACACACACACGCATACAGAAACGCTTGGGATGAGGCGTTGAATTATGCAGGACGGCCCACATCTCTCTCACAGCCTTGGAGTGACTTTGGGTGAAAAGGGGGGGAGGAAGAAGTGGCAAACTATGAGACCGAAACAGTCATGTAGTAAACCCGTCTGGTATCAGGGTGTCCGCACGTCCATCCTCTTTTACCAACAGTACTTCAAAGACCTCGAGAGTAATTAACCGCAGTGTGTGCCTTTAAAGCCCGATTCACACAGGACCAGTACTATCTGGGGTCCTCTTAAGAGTCTTAATAACCACAGAGGTCATCTGCACGCTTAATCCTGGGGGGGTTCTGCTCTGTCGTTAATCTGCAAAGTAAAAATTCCACCGCAAATTAGTCCCGTGTGAAAGTGCATCTCAGTAAAACGGGTCCATTTCTTTTTGAAGATGTTTTTGTGGTGTCCCCTCACACTGTGACTGTGAGGGTTATTAAGGCTGCCGTGAAAATGTATGAGATTTCTTTGTGTACAAATTCTGTATAATTGTTTAGCTGCTCAGCGTTAAGCCCAATTTGGAGAAGGTGCAATCTAAAACCGGTAAATCACTTAATGAAGCAGTGATTAAATGAAGCAGAGATTTTGTTGTCGACAAGATCGCAACGCAAAAGTCGACTTACTCCGGCTTTCACCCACATCTCATGGTCTTCATCGGCAGACACAGCTTCCCCAGCTGTCCCACATTTCCCATTATTCTGTGAGACTTTTGAAGAAAAGCAAACTCAATCTCATGACTGTAGACACTGAAATTTAAAGTTCCATCTGCTGAAGACTGGATGATACGGCTGAAAGTCCTGGAAGAAGAGAGCAATGTGTGTACGGTTTATGTATAACTCCTCAAGACCAGTGAGGAGACCCGGTCTAACTTACTTTGTCTTGATGATTAAAGTGAAGGGGGTTAGCCTCGAAGTTAGCAACAAGCGTATTTACTTAAATAGAGAGATGGGGGCGTCTCTGTAACTGTAAGTAAAGACGTTTCTACACACATATTAGTGAATGATGCTCATTGTCTTGTCCGATATTAGTCTTTTCAAAGTCTTCAAAGTCTTCTAGTCTAGGGTCGGCATGAGACTGAGGCACCGATGGGTGCTTGTCCACAAACAGCTGACACTCCCGAGATCCACCGACGGAAACCCAACACCGACAAGTCACTGAACGCTGCTATGGCAACCACTTCACAGCCGGGTGTCATGTTGCCATGGCGCTGGTGGGCGGGGCCATGCCCGGTTCTCAGGTGACAGGTGGACAAACAAAGAATGGAGGGAGCCAAATGTGCTGCCGCAGCAAAACTGTTGCAAGTGTAAAAGACGAACCAAAAGAACAGAAATAAGCTAGAACTTCAGTTCTGTACATTAATCCCCACTAATACTGGGAAACATTTAAAACTCGGTACAAGCAAAGTAAGTCTCCTCATCCTCCTGACCTGAATCTCACGGCCCTGATGATTACAAATTGGACCCGAAGGAGGATCTCAAAATCGCGTGGCTCTGTTGTCACACCCTCACTATTTCACCGCTGGGTTTCAAACAACCCTAAACCAAAAGTCCAAAACAGAAAGATATTCAATTTACAGTAAATAAAACAAAAAACCTGCAGAAAACTCACATTTAATAAGCTGGAAGCCACTCAGCACAAGCCTCATCATTTTGTGTGGGCAGTCTTGTACTGACTCCTATATTTCTACATGTCACCAGACCTATAAACTTTCCACACAACCTTGTACTATAATACAACAAATGTAGCTACATCTATGTACAGATACAACTTGTCTGAAAGGAATCTGAAACCTGTCATCATGAGGCTTGGTGCATATTTCTAACTGGGATTAGAAATGTCTTGATGAAAGTTGCAGATATGGTGGAACCGATGCAACTGATGCCACAAGTATTCAAATTAGTAGATGACATCATCCGGCCTTCACCAGAGGCCTGGCTCAAAGCAGGAGAAGCGCTGGTCTGAGCTCAATTCCCCACATATGCAGGATCTAGTGCACCAGGACATTCTAGCAGTCCGTCGCAGAAAAGTTTCAAATACTTTCCTCTGGTTGGTTAAATAAATTGCCTGGTATCAACAGTGTTGTGCGGTGAACTCTGCCACTTACTGCGCTGATGGGTGATGTAGTGCATTTGCATAGGACTCTGCCACCTTAGACAAACAACTGACCGGGAACAGTAGCTAGAACTGCAGCCTCTCCTTCTACACAAGCACACACACACACACAGGCCACAGATAATAACGTCCAGACAGACCTGCATACTAATGCAAAACGCATATTGGGAAGCCAGTTAGACAAATTATTTTCTTCTCTTTCTCTTCCCTGAGAGAGATTTACACCCAAACCCTAAACTCACAGATACAAGAACCCCCCACACACACTGGGCTTGCTTTAGCCGTGGTCATGCATCACCACTGTCCTACTGCACTGCTGTGTGTTTGTGAAAGCCATTCTTATGAAACTGGGTGGACAGCTTAGAACAACAAATATGAGCGGGTGGAGCAGCGTGAAGGGAAGTCTCCAGCACACTGAGGTCACCCACACACTATTATTGTATTTTTATGTTCAAATTCTCCACCGGGCGGGTGGGGCTGTGCAGAAACAGGGCGAGGACGGGGCGCAGCACCATTGGGGGGGGCGTTCTAACAACCAGCAGATGAGAGAAGTTAAACACACACACACACACACACACACACACACACACAGCTCGTCTTAGCAGGCCGCTCATCCCTTGCTGCCCTCGTAGCCTATTTTGCTGCCAAACAGCCAATAAAAGTTGTATTCCATCGACCACGGACGTGTACCTTTGCTCTGAATGAGTCTGACATTCAGTCACACACTCACCATGCATTTGAACTGCTCTGCAAACTTAATACGAGCTGTGCTTTCATTTGACCAGAAGGATTTATGTTCAGATTGGGTAGACGATGTATGAAATGCATGTTAAAAAAAAAATAAGATACACACACTGTTATCTGATAAGACACTGAACCTTAAGTGCTTGCTTGGACAAATGCCATGATAGTCAACACTAGGCTGTAGGTTAAAGTAGCATTCGTTGATATCTGTGGTCACTTGGGGACAGCAGAAGCATTTGAAAACATCTGATATACAGTGGAAACGGCTTATAGTGATCAACCGCTTATATGGATCGAAAAGCTTGGGAGTAGAAGTAGTAGAGTAGTTGTAATAATCAGTCCGCTTAAAGTGTTCACTTTGGGTCTTTTCATAACCGACAGCATAGAGAAAAACATTAAATCTACAGGTGGCCGACATTAATAAAAATGTTGTCCGCCCTGTGGCTTACTTTATCCCTTGATACTTTGCTTCACGTTACCCGTTCGCTTACTAGCCAGCTACCTGAGGCTGGTGCCATCTGCACATTGAATCGTGCGGGAAAAAGAACGTGATTTTCTCTCAACACACGTGGATAGCTAACTATCCAAACTATTTACACGTCTCAATTTCCTGCTTCTTAAGCTACAAAATGCTCCACTGTCACTAACTCTATCTGTCTTATCTGGTGCTCCACAGGCAGCTGAAAAGCTACACTGATGAGAGCATTTAGACTGGACCAAAAGAGTGAAGTTGCAGGTCATTAAACCAAAGAAAGGAGTTGCAAGACACCAAAACGCCCCGTAGAGAAACGCATAACCAAATGCTGATGTGAACACAACTCCGCCCTATCAAATTCCCTTTTCTCCTACGAAGTCAAGAAAAAGTCCAGTTGAGTCCTTATGCACCATCTGCTGTCTCAGGTTTGTTGTGCTGATACTTTTCACAGGCCAACGACGCCAGACCAACAAACATTTCAACACACAGGCACAGCGCCAAAAATGTTGTGGTCCCCGTCTTAAAAGTTGTGGAATGTCACTTGTGTTCCATCTTGTTGTTTGTCAAAGCTCTGTGTGTGGCGTGTATGAGGGTAGATATGCTGGTAATTAGGTTTAACCAATCAAAAACTATTTCACACACTAAGGCAGATTCTTATACCACCATGCAGCCCATTAAAACCATGGGTCAGCCCAATTTTTGATTTTAACATGTAATTGCAGTTCCATGCTTTTGGTCAATTTGTAAAATGCTAAAACTACAGCCACTTCAATGATTGATTGATTTAATTAATTGTCAAAATAGAAGCATTTTAACTTGTAATTTTTTTTCTGTGAATTGACTTATCATTTTTCACATTTAGATATAATGTAGTGGTGTCATTTATTTTTCTAAATATCTTGTCTACTTTTAATTCTTTCCACCGTTTCCATGTTCTCCGTAGACCATAAAAGTCAAATGTGAGTATATGGAAATATGAATGTACTGTACTTAGCAATTCAGAAGGTTTATAAACATTTTTCATGTCTTCTGTGATGGATCATGATGGACCAACACCAGATAAATACACGACTGACAACTAAGATTGGTGGTCACTTTCTTTAAAAAAACAACAACAACCTTACTTTACAAAATAAGCAAATCAATGCAAGGGTACATTAAAGTTGGTTTTATTCTCCTTTGTTTTCAATATGGATTTCTACCAGCCAAATCCAATATTCTCGTAAACTGCCCACATGTAGCAGACAACAGGTTTTACTCCCAGACACGACACGTTCCGTTCCTCCTCCTTTTCCCTCCTTCTGGGCCACGACTTAGACATTGATCTACCGCAAAGCACCATGGGAGCTGGTAGCAAGCGGTGCTGCAAAACACTCAGTCATTGGTCCCCGATTGCTGTCTGATCCTGTGAGGTCAACGGGGGGTTACCGCCCATGCAAATGGACCACAGGGAGGAAAGCGGGCTCTGAGTGACAGGTGAGGGAGCGTATCAGCTGGCTGAGAGGAAAACACCGACCAAACGGAGGCCCGAAGGAGAGGAAAAAGGGGGCAAGGCGGGAGGAGGTGAGCCAGGCCTCTGAGGGGATTAACACGGTCTGACAGGCTGGCTAGGACACACACACACACACACACACACACACACACACACACACACACACACACACCTTTTAGGGCGGGCTGCTCTGCTGAGCACACACAATACACTGCTTGTTTTAGAACAAGAGGAAAGAGAGAAAAGAGAGATAAGAGAGAGGCCAAATCACAGAGAAGGAATGTGTGTTTGACAGAGGGAGAGAGGGCAGAGTGAGATCATGAACCACAGGTGCTTCGATGGAGAGGACCTCCCTCTGTGGTCCTAAATGTATATTCCATGACTTTTTTTTTTTTTTTTTTTTAAAGGAGTGAAACCTCTGGACTCCACCCAAGCTTCGCTGGAAGCCATCTGTCGCAATAAATGTCTCAAACCAGCTGAGAAATACATTTCAGTTTGCGAAATTCCCTCACATTCCCCAATTTCCACAGAGTCTATCCTCTGTTACCTGACCTTCCTCGTCTGGAATTCACCACTCAAAAAAAAAACTCCATTTGCATTCCAGGAATTCCAGGACCAGCAGGAGCCCTGAAAACGATGACATATCACCCATTCGGATCTCCAGACTACTCCTCAAGCACTCACACAGAGGCCATGCTTGGGGAGGCCTCTTTAAGGAGCGCTTCACATATATTGATTAGCGGACCTTCTGGGAAAATTAACTGCCTCCAAAGTAGAGCAGGGTTTCTGCAAGTTTGACCAGGTGTAAATTAAGGTTTAAAGAACCTGTAAATTAAAGTAAGAATTGATTATCCGATGGATTTTGCAACCAAAACACACGTGTAAATAAAAAAAACTGTGGAACATAACTGGGACGACTTCTCAAAGATTGTATCATTTCTTTAAGCTTTACACTCAGATCATTTCACTGGAAGACAGTTTTAAAGGTTTTTCAGTAGCCTGTGAATTTGTGTTTGATATAGTTCAGTTACCTTTTTTGCATTTGCTGCCATCTTAATCTTGCGTTGTTTTCTTTAATCTGTGTCTAAATACGAAGTATCTAAGGTAGCTAAAGTTGGGTTTGATGGTACATGCTGGAAAATGAAAACTACCTGTAATTAGTTGTACATTTGCCTGCTACAGGTTTGATCTAAAATGAGCCTCGTCACTTTAAAGCTGGAAGCAAAGACTTCAGTAAAGATACTTCACCAACGGCTGCAGGTATGATTCATTTTCCTCATCATTTCTTCACGTTTATCAAATTACTACAGCAGATCGTGGTAAATAAGTTGAAATATGAACATTTTGCTTCCACCCTCTCCTCGATTTGAATACATTACATTCTTATGAACACGTCTTGATAGAGACCGTTTGGCCCGTAACCCTCACACAGCCTAAATCACTCCTGAAGTGGACTTCCTAACAGGGCTGAAAATAAACAGCGGCGATAAATATCCTGGCTGTCCAGTGTGACCCTCATCCTTCTTTTTAACGGGCAGCAGCCAATAGACCGAGGCCAGCTGCATTAATTACAGCTGCTACGGTGAGCGATGTGGCCGCACAAAGATTGGATACTGAACTGGAGAGTTCACACTCAACGGCAGAAATATCAGGGGGGGGGGGTTACGATTTAAAAAAATGTCCATCCTGTCAGAATTGAGTGCACCACAGCAGCATTCTACACTGAGTGAATGTGACAACTTGCAACCAGTGAAATTACAGCAAACTTATTGTTTGAACCGTAAAACGCCCAACCGGTGAGAAACACGACGGAACCGAAATCAACATGAATGAGCAGCGGTTGGCGGATGGAAATGAGCTATAAGGTTACCCATCCAATCATGACAGTCCGTCTGTCAGTGTGTGTATTTGTGTTTGCACTCGTGTGTGTGTGTGTCAGAGATGGGCCATAACTCTGCTGGACAGGCTATAAGACTTGCGGTCGTGATCTTTTGCCTGGCTCCGTAATGAAGCACTGTGGAGCGATTACCCTCACACACGCACCACAAACACAACGTTTGGCCATGAAATGTGACATTTAAAGCTGCAACTGGTTGGACTGTTGGGCAGACACTTGTGGAGATGGACTCTCAGACACAAGCAGTGCTCAGATTATCTGAAGCCTACGGGGGGGCGTTAGAAGGCCGGAGCTGCAGTGAGAAAAACGAGGCCACAGCATCCGGGAGTCTACAGGGTCAAACTAAGGATAAATACGGGTCATTCCACAACAACCAAGACCACTTCATGTCTTGGATTTACTTGAAATTAAATTGAAAACTTCTATTAAATGTACAGGGGCCTTGCAAAATCCTGTAGCTCTACTGCCAATTATCTACAAGTTATGATTTTTTTGGAGTTTGTGTGTTCAAGGCCCTTTTTTGCTGGACTGGATTGGAATTTGTACTGAACAATCAAAGAAACCCCAAGAGTAATTTAATGTAAATAGCTAGTTATTGAATGTTTTACAGTAATACAATTAATAAAACTGAATATAATTTTACCAAAGAAAAAGATTCTTTAAATTTGAAAAAAAAAAAAGATATATCCAATAGTTTCCACTTTCTTGCGGCCAAATATTGATCTCGATTAATATTAAATTAGATTAGATTTTGATATCAATTCTGTGTACGAATATAGATCTATCACATCTAGAAGTTAGTAGGTCCTGCATCAGAAAATGGGAGCCACAGATCTTGCTAAACTTAGCTGCAGCGCTAAAAATACCACTTTAAGATATTTTGACTGTAATTTTACCCAAGGCTCATTTAAATTTCTTTAAACCTTTTTTATGAGTAACTATTTATATTCATTGCAGATATATACAACGTTAATGTTCAATGTTATATTTAATAATTTTATGTAAACGATCACTTCTTACACTTGTAACACAGGTCCTATGAAGTTAACAGAATGGAATGACCAATACATTAAAAGCAAGATCAGATAAACCACGAAAATCAACAAAATATACGCCCGTCCCATCTTCTCGAGAGCCGATTAGAAAATCAAAGCACTGCAATACAACAGCGAAGAACTGTCCAAACAAGTTAAGAACAATAAAAGTATAAAGAAGGAAAGGTTAAATGAAGCCAGCTTTCATACCTGCACTGTGTGTTTACATTTATCCAGAGAGCTGATAAGGATCCATGCTCCTTCCCATTAACATCCTACTCAGCCTTCACCCATTTTCACTTCACACGGCGAGCTGTTATTTGTTCACCTTTTCAGACTACATTTATCAGTGCAGCAATTCTGTGCCCCGTTGTCTTGCCTGTGAACAAACTCTACCAGCAAACCAGGAAAAACAATGCAGCACAAGCAGACTAATCATGTTTGTGGTCTCCTTAAAACCACATTTTTAGGAGGGCCATGTTAGAGCCCCTTTGCACTTGTTGCATCTCCGGAGGTGATTTGTTCCAGCAATGTCGCCAAGATGCAAACGTAATCTTTACTACTCCCAAGTGGAACTACATCAGTAAGCGCTCTGTGATAATAGCCACTCGCTGAAATTACATGGAAATTAGCCCTCTTTCTTGCACTTTCATCTGATCCCTGATCAGTTCAAGCTGAATGATCTGTATGTGTGAGGGAGTGGCGTGAGCGAGAGGCCAGTGAAGACGATTCAGCTTTTACATTGCTCGTAGTCCAAACATGAAAGTCACCCATGTGTTTGTGTTAGTTTATAGATTTTCTCGCATAGCCGGACCCATCTCCATAATGCTGTGTCAGCGCTAAAGAAAGGTGTAAGCGCTAAGCACAGGATGCAGCAACGGTGCACTTGTGAAAATAGATGGTGCAGATAGCGGGAGGGGAGGAGAATGCCGGATGCTGAAATAGGCGGTCAATGGCAGACTTACACGCACAGTCTACATCCAGTGAGTGGTTATTATAACCGTTCTTCTTCTAATAATTTTTGCCGTTAACATAGTAGTTACCGCCACCCTTCTGGACTGCAGTAGGGCTGACCCTAATTTGTACACGGCCTGGGTAAACCAAGAGGGTCTGCCATTTTGACTTGTGATTTGGCCAACGCATGTATATGGACAACGTCTGAATACAAGACATGTGTAAATGGGGCCTTAGCTTCAGTGGGATCCTCCACATAGAATCTAGGGACTGCAGCACCTTTGATGAAGACGCGTAGTTTAGCTTTTGTCTCACACCCACACAGTCAACCCACCCACCTGCGACTCAAACAGCAGCTTTACTGCGTGTTCACTTCAGGTGAATCCAACCATGACGCTCACTGATGAGGGCCTCTTTGACCTGTATTAAGAACACCTTAAACCATAACTAAAAACCTCTCACACACACACACTTCTTTTACAAGCCTGTTAACTACAGAGTGTGTGTGTGGTTGTGAGAGAGAACAGCCTTTTTTTTGGTGAGCTCATCACAGCCACTGCGTTACCATGGTGACACAGCCAGCTAGCGGCTATGTGACATGATGAGAGAGAGACAGAAAGAGGGAGGGAGGGCATGGCCGATGAACATACAGAGGGACAATGCAAACAGAGATAAATGCACAGAGCGGCCAGCTTGTGTGTGTGTGTGTGTGTGTCCTCATGGTATTGTAGTTGTGGCTGAGGCCAGCAAATCTGTTAACCAGGTCTCCACTGTGCTGCTGCCAAACATGCAGCTACTATCACCAGCAGCTGCTGCTTTAAACAGGTACAACGCCAGGCCGACACTGACCTTTAAGTCAAAGTCAAACACCAGCCGAGAGATCTATTAATACAAACCAAGAGTAGAATGGTCCCAGCTTCTCAAATGTGAGGATTCACTGCTTTTTCTTGTCTTACATTTAAGTAAACTGAATTTTGATGTTTTGTACCATCTGTCAGGCAAAACGAGACATTTGAAAGATGTCATCTTGAGCTCTAGGAAATTGCGATGGTCATTTTTCACCCAACATTTCTCCGTATACACTCGTTAGTTGCAGCCTGACCGTCAAAGACTTTGCCATACCGTTTATATTGAAGTATCTGTCCCTTTGCAAATCAATGCACAGGTTGGCTTTAGATACATTTTAGATTTCTATATTACATTTGCTCCGATGAAATAACCTAAGCTTCAGTATTCTAATCGATGACATTGTCAATAAACCAAAACAAAATATTGATCAATAATGTCACTAAATATCTAGAAACAGGACATGGGTTGCTGCACCGAAACATAGCACCCTGAAGAGTTATTCTGGAGCACTGAAATCTGGAAATAGCTGATAAAATAAAACAAAATCTGATCACGCATCCCTCTGAAAACAACCCAGTCGTTCTAACCAGACCACAGGAAACCCACTATCTCCACGCACCACACACTTCCTGTCGGCTTCCTGCTTCCTGTGCAACAGGGGAAAGGAGGGAGTGGCCGCTGATGTCACGGCGAGACTGCTTACGTGCCGTGTTCACATCCCAGAGGAAAGAAGGTGGACACGAGCTACCAGCTTGTAAAAGCCTTTCCCCTCAAACTCAGCCAGTCAGTCGGTGCAATCAGAACTAATAGCATTACATAGTGCGGTATGACTACAAATAATTGCTTTCATTGTCTGTTATCCTTCTGATTTTTTTTCTGCATACGAAGCAAAAGCAACAATACAGTATTGCTCCACTACTGGGCAAGTTTTTTAATTAAGCTGTAAGGAAACCATTGACCAGATGTGTGGTAACTCTTGCCGTAAACCTGTACCCTTTAGTTTCCTGCAAGTGTTACAACCCCCCCGTTTCTCAGTCTTTCCTCCTTAAGCCACAGTGAGGATGCTACACTGGATATCGCAGTACACCAACACATTGACATCCTATACAGCCATGCAATATACAGTGGAGCTGAGGAACATATTGAGAGCCATATTTAGACACGCTGGTTGTATTTTTAGCCACAGTTCTCCACCATATACGTATCTGCTGCTCAACACTATGTCCTTTCAAAGCACCTTTTCCTTTAAATCAACCTTTTCCTCAAGATCAAGATGAGATCGTCCTCCACGTCAGTCAGCATGCTGTACGGCACAGTCGTACGAAGTGATTCGTGTTGTTTTGTCACACCGTGCAGTAACAGGCAAAGTCAGCTTTCCACAGGTATAGCCTCCTCATCTGCAGGTTTCAAAGACCAATTCAAGACAGGAAGCGGCTAGCGTTTAAGACCATCTCAACAAGCAGGAAAAAAAAAAAACGACCAACGACAAGAGAAACAAGCGGTTTGCACATCAAAATGAATCAGCAACATAAGGTTAAGGAATTATACCAGGACAGTGTACATTTAAATACAAAATCTTTGGATCTGTTCAGCTGAGCAGACTTGATAAGAAAAAAAAAATGTCATACTGCGTTAACCTTGTAATGTTTGCCAAGATGTCCAGCGCTCCTACAACTTAAAAGTTCTATAAAGTCTATTTAAGGCTTTTATTTGTTTAAAAGTCTTAAATTTAGATCCAATACCTTTTCTAAGATCCTCCTAATCTGTGATCTACATGCTGACAAGCAATCAAGCCACAGTGTAGGTGTGTGCAAAGTTAATAACTAAACGTATAACATAATATTTGGCAGCCTAGAGAGATCTTGAGGTCAGTGGAGTTGATTTGGTGGTGAAGAAGAAGGATCGATGGAGCACTGGATGGACAAAAAAGCTGCCGTTCCCGTTTTAAACCATAAGCCTCTCTTGAGTTGCTCGGAGAATAAAGTGGGAAAAGAAATTCCATAGGTCAGCACTCAGTACAAGCTGTAGAACAGTCTTACCTGCATCACGCAAATTAAAATTTTTTTTAAAAAAAAAATAAATTAAAAAAAAGGTGGAGGTCAACAGGTCTGACCCTAAACTCAAACCTTTTCCTGATAAGAGAGACAGACAGGTTTACATGAGTCAGCGCTTATCCAAGGCAAATCACACTTAAAAACAGGAAGTGCCCTCATTTAACGACAAATGCCCCGGTCAAGGAAAATGTCAACATAATATATGTCGGACCTGCCTGATAACAACAATGTCACATGCAACACCAGGCTTATATAGTGCTGCCTTCTTACTACAACACTGTCACAGCCACTTCATGAAGTCATGACTACATACTGCCTGACTGAACAGTGAGTGAATACTGAAAGTACTTTTGTACAGTGATATGAATTATCTACTCTAATCATGCATCTTGCCCTGTCCCTTGCTCTATAGACAAGGTCTGCTTGTCCTGTACTATTTGATGCAGCATGGACTCTTACTGTGTTAGATATGTGACCCCAACACTCTAGTTTAATCCTTGTTTAGGCTCAAGCTGCTAGTGCACCAGAGCTTGTAAATTAGAATGATCAAGAGCACACGTAGAGTTTGGGCATCAAGGACTTGTTCCAAATTTATTAAGACCAAGACTTAAGTCACAAACTTGCTTTTCGATACTGCCCTCTATATCACAGGTTATATTCAGGGTAATCTTGACATCAACTTTTCCCTTATAAACAGCTTTCCAAGCAACAGGAAGTTCTGGATATCAGCCTACAGCATCCAAACTCTTTTTGGGGAGGATTGCTGCAGACTGTGCTCACAATTTTTTTTAAACAGTGCATCTCTTTAAACAGTACTGTCTGAGGACATCATTTTTCAGTGACATGTAGCAGTTACTCAATGCAACCATATTGTGAATAGCAAAGGTCTGATCTGGATGAAGGCATTAAACCAGAGGCTGCATTAGTGTTAAAACATACGAGGACAACTAATAATGTGTTTGTATCCTGAACAATGTCCATCCCCACCACACACACACACACACACACAAACAAACAGAATACTACAACTTACAACCGGGCAGTGTGAACCTGGACAGCCTAAATACAAAAGTGGAGCAAAGTAAACATTCCCACAATTTTTTGGATCCAAATAAAACCAACGGTTGGTGCGATTGCATCTGAATTGCAGTACATGTATTGTGCTACATCTTTCAAGCCTAGTGTTTATTTAATTCTGCAACAGTAAGCCCCACGTCTCTGCCTGTGGCGAGTCCCCACGTGACACGAGTACCCGTTATGTTATAATGAGCCCCACGGCCCCACCATGAGTCCCACAGCAGGACTTATTCAGTTTGGGTTGCAAGATTAAAAAGTTTGACAACCTTTGCTCCAGACTAATCACCCACGCACAGCTAATCTAATCACACGAATGATCTCACCGCTCTCTGAGGCAGTTTGGTCCAAACTACAGAAATGAAACGTTGTCAATTATCAGATAGATGATTCTGTGTGTGGTAGATCAAATAAAAAAAAAATAAAAAAATCAGTGTCAATCCCAGATCATACTGTAAAACAGTATTACAAATGTCGCGTCGTTCGTGTCCAGCTACACTCGAGAGTAGTCTAGACAGTGTGAAGGACACTTGTGCAGCTTGGGGGCTCCACCAGCTGACATATGGGGTAGGGTGTGGCGTGGCAGGGAAGGCCATGCATCTGCTTACATTTAATCACGTACTGCCGGACTCAACTCTGAGCAGCAACGCTCCTTGTGCAGTGAGACAATTACAGCCTCGAGAACTTCTGGAGTGGGTTAATCATTCCTCACAGAATGGAGACGTGTGTGTGTGTGTGTGTGTGTGTGCAGTGCACAAACCCTGGCCAACGGCTGGCCAGCTTCAATCCTGATACATTAATCGGCTCAAGAAGAGGAGAGGGGACCCTGTGCCCCCCCCCGGTCCCCTTATCCAAGGAGCGGTGGGGGTGGGCTGCCCGCCTAAAAAACGCTGCAGCTGACGCAATCAGAGTCAGAGCTATAAATCAAAACTACTTAGGCGTGAGATGCACCAGTTGAGGAGTAAGGATAGATTGTTATTGACTAACTCCTTAAAGACGAGAAACATCAGCAAGCCCTTGCCGCTCTCTGGCTGCTAGCTATATCTGAATCCTGCAGGGAGGAGTTCCTTATCCTGGCATGTTATTAGTAAACAACCCCAACCTGAGTCTAGACTGGCCTTTTAATTATAGCACCGTTCCTCAATGTGTTGCAGGGTCAAATTATTGCTGGTCAAGCGAGCAGCTCGCACCAAACTAGCTAGTGTGAGGACAATGCAGAGAGCAACATGGTCTGCATTCTGCACTGGCAGGGAGATTGTGTTTTGGTTCGCAGGCTGGTAGCATCTTTGCTGCGAGTGCCCTACCTGGAATAAGCGTGTACGCCCCAGCGTGTTGCTAATACCTTAAGCTTTTATCCATTTGCCCTGCGTATCAAACAACCTCGCCGTGTTACTGGGGTTGTCAGCCATTGCAGGCACTGCTGCAAGCCCCGCTACACACAGCAAACACTGGCACAGCTCGATACATCACAAGTTTGGTTTGTCATTTAAAAAAGCAATTATACGTGTTGTACCAAATACCAGTAATTGGTTTCTTCTGTTTGACCCACTGGCAGGGTTCATGTTTGCTCTACAGGTAATGTGCTCGCTAACTAGTTAGCTAGCTAAGCCCGATACGTACTGGAGATAGCAACACACCAAACTCCATTCAAAATCTGGCAATTCAATGTTGCCACTCTTATCGCTCACGTTCGCATATCCGAAAATTCAACGTTACCTGAATATACTCAACAACTCGTTGGAATTCACTTCAAATTCGGTGTATTTATTATGCACAAAGCACGAACTGGTTCTATGAACTGTCAACTCTGAGAATAATTCCTACTATATAACGTTAGCGTGCTGTGGCTAAGTCACAAGCTAAACACAGCTGTGGGCGGTAGCTAGAAGCTAAGCTAACGTTACGCTCAAATGTTTCTCCAAGAAGGAATGTTACCGAAACATGGCGCTGATCTGTAGACAAATATTTACTTTGTCTGTTTAACGCTCACATATTCATTCAATGTCAAAGGCCGTATGCTGTACATATGGCGATATAGTAAATCACCAGATTTTTCAATGGAGTTTGGCATTCATTCTCCCCATGCACGTACGGGGACACCGAGTAAACCACGCTGCCCACAACAGCCTGGCTTTCAACATGTTCAAGCCAAGTCTTGGTCAGCGTTACGGTCTCCCATTCACCCGGGAGAGGGCCTTGTGGGTCCGCGGTCTCTGTCTCTCTTGCTACTCCGGGGTGGTCTCCTACCTCTGTGGGCCGGCTGATCTCAAACAGGTCGAGCCGGTTGGCGTTCCAGTGGTTGATGATGTCGGCCAGTTTCCTCCTCTCCTCCTCCCTGCTCCCCGACATGGTGGACAGCTTTACCGACCCTCTCCGTCCGTCTGAACTGTTGAATAACACTTCCAGTAACGTTAGTCCACCGGAGAAGCAACCGCCACCGCCGAAACCAAAAGGCTCAGGTGTGCCGTTTTCACGCCGGTACTTTCCGCGGTCTGTCTTCCTGCTCACCGACCGACCGACCGACCTGCTGTCTGTCTGATCTGATTCTGCTTCGCGTTCCTGGTGCGCCTCTGCGCGCTCCCGATACACTCTGGATGCATGACCGTGCACGCGCAAAACTGTTAACTGTTTGAGGCCCGGTAAACGCGATTCATGACGCTGCTTTACTAAAGGAGCTCTGGTGTATGGGGTTAATGATAAGTACTTAGTCTAGTAAGAAGGATTACGTCACTATGTGTTGATTAATTAGGGGGCTCATTTTTTATTGAAGCTTCCAACCGATTTATTTGACTAATTTTACCACATTAATGCTCAGTAAACCAATGATTATATTTTAAGAACATGATTAGATAAATATATTTGTTTGCACTTTAAAAATACAATCAATATGAAAATATATGATGTGTACAGAAATAAATATACAAACAAACTTTCACCAACATTTAATCAAATTAATGTAAAGTAAACAAAAGCTTGTGCAGGAGAGGTATTCAGATACAAGCTTATATAAGAGACTTCTAAAAGCTGAACAGAATTACATTAAATAATACAAATAATAATGCATGGAAATCAACCTAACAATAATAATATGTAACTGTATTTGAATAGGTTGAAAAACATAGCCTATATATGGAGACGGCTTTGGGTCAGAGGTAGTGCCATTGGTGAGTGTGCGTGAATCATAGACTGTATATAAGAAGGGTGTGAATGTGAATTAGTTCAGATCCTGATGGGCAGGTGGCACCTTGTATGATAGCCTCTGCCATCAGTGTATGAATGGTGGTTGTTTCAGGATTATCGTTTAATATGTTATCATGGCACCATAGATGTACTGTATATCTGAGGCGTAGGTTAGCTTGCTGCACAAATACACTATTTAAAGCTCCTTACAATGAATATTTTAAAAAAAATAGTTTGAGATGGACCATGTTATTTTATATAAAACACTGCAGTTGTTATCCCCTAGAAAATGTAACTTCTCTCAGTTATCTATCAGAAATATTTCCATCTCAAACAGTGGGAGAGGAACATTCTTTGTGTTTTCTGTTGTCACATTGTCTCCTAATTCAGCCCTAGCCTGCAAGTGATGAATACCACACAGCACTGCCAAGTCCCTCTGTCCAACAATACACACACACACACACACACACACACACACACATACACACACACACCTCTGCACTGTATCCTCATAGGTTTATGAAGCAAACACAGGCATCCATACACAAGTTAGTTTTAGGAGTCAGTAGAGATAAGGAGACAGTTTGTTTATATTATGGCCGTATAAAGAAAAATGTATGGTGATCCATTCCACAGTTTTATAAGGAAGACAAACCAACTCTCCAAATTGCAATGATGTGTACGGAAACCCGAATTAGTGACTAACTGTGACACAGCATGGAATGCTGAGTCCAACATTTTACCGTACTGCGATTTAGCAAAATTAGCAAAATGGGATTAGATTAACCTCTTTTTTTCCCAAAACAAATCAACTTCTATAAAGAGCTTTTAGAAAATCAATCGATAATGTATCACTTTTCATGATACAAAAGCAGCAGTCTTCATTTTTGGGAATAATGTGTAAAACACAGTCCTCTGCTATGAGCAACAGTACGTTTCTCACCCCACAGTGACAGTTGTGTTTTCATTGTTTCAAGAAAAATAAGGCAATATACTAAAATACAGTAATGACCTTTTAAGGCAGTAACCAAACACACACACACATCCTATCTGTATGTATGGGTTGGATGAGCCATTGTCTGCAGTCTCACCTAACTGATAACGTGTGTCACTGCAGGATTTCTTCCTTCCTGTGGACACGACATAACATAATTAGCAAATGCTGGTTTCCTGTCTGTGTGTTGTTGGGGGTAATGGTGTGTGTGTGCATACGTGTGTGTATGTGTGTGTGTGATTGTGTGTAAATGAGCAACGGAGTGCCCCATCTATGCAAACACCAGCTCTTTATTAACACACGACTGTCAGTGACTCTGAAAGGTCACAGAATATCAGGCAGATACATGTGAAATGTCAGGAATACAGCGGTGACGGCATCTACAGAAATAGCTGGTTCCGCGGTGTGGTTAGTCATGTAGGCAGACAGGGTGAAGAACAGTAGCCTCGGCTTCTTATAAACACATTAGTCACCGTGACTGAATTTGTGGGTGTTGGTGTAAATGGATGAATACATGCGCTGACATAATGTGTGAGTAATGAATGAAAAATAAGCTTTTTATCAGAGCAGCTGATCTGACAGTGGTTTAAAAATGTCTTCCTCTTTTTAAAAAAAAAAAACCTAAACAACAGCAAATAAATCGAAATACTTCTTAATTCAGCTTAAATCTTTGTGTAGCAGGATTTTATTTCTTCAAAAAAATACTGGAAAATGAAAGTTTTATGAGAGAAGCAGTGTTGGAAAGTACTTTACTTGGTGCTTTATATGTCTACTCCAAAACATTTCAGAGGAAAATATTGTACATTTGACTCCACTTAATTTATCTCCCAGTTAATATACTTACAGATTAAGATTTTCAGATTAATTTAAGATAAAAACATATGATAACCTTGATAAAAGACTATGTTAAAAACATTTTTCCCCGTACTTCTTGGCTTGTGGCCCCTCAGAAAAAAATCAGTGTCTGGTTTTGGATGGTCATGAGTCTTTAGCAGCTTCCTCAAAGAGGGATTTTCTCCTTAGATGGTTCCATTTACAGGGGACATATCATGAAAAACTTACTTGCAGTGCTTGTGCATATACATTTGGGCATCTGGAGTGCCTACCAACCCAAAAACTGTGAAATAAGAGAACCAGTCAGTTTTTATGGGATTCTTAGATCAGAAAAAGTGTGATTCAACAAGACATTCAGATTTGGCTCCCCTTCCCCTGTCTCAGGCTCATTAGAATATACGCCTCCACTCATCTGAGTATCTGCACCCACGGCTTGAGAACTATCTTTGCAAAGGTGCGTCATATGTTCCTCGCTAAACAAAGCAGACTAGGCTTTTTCAGGACGGGGTCTTAAAGAGACAGGCACTAAAACGGAGCGTTTCATACAGAGGGTGAATACAGGTATTGTCAGACGGACAGTATGAGGAAAACAATGTGGGCTTTTTTACATTAAAGAGTGTAAACATGTTCGAGTAGAAATCCAAAATAAAAGTATGAACCTGAAAATGAGCATAATATGTCACCTTTAAATAACTGATCAAGTTACAAAAAGGTAAGGCTCACTAATATTTCACAAAAAAGCAAAGATTTGAAAAAAGTCCGGAAAAATGTATATCAATTTATTTTTTTCTTCCTTCCTGCTTCTTCAATCATCTCACAGCCCCTGAGATTTATCTTGTGACCCTGTGGAGGGACCTGACCCTTAGGTTGGGAACCACTGGACTAAAATACCACACTGTATATAAAGTAAAAGTAAAATGCCACTTACACATTGATGCATTAGTGTTAATAAGCTAATAATGTCACATATAATAATATATCAGAACAAAAACGTATTCCATTAAGTACATTTTGCATACTTCTGCACTTGTACGTAAGTAAGATTCTGAATGCAGGAGTCCTTATAATGGTGTATTTTTGCATTGCTGTATTTGCACTTTCACCAGTAAAGAGTATCTTCCTCTACCAGTGGTGAGAAGACGTGAGAGTTGTTGCTGAAGTCGTTTGACATCAGCAGCAGAAGTGAGAAACCACAACAGGAAACCAACTTCACCAGATAGCCCTGCCACTTCCTGTATCTGTGATGTTGTCACTGTTTCAGTCACCACACACACACCCACACCCACACACACACACACACACACACACACACACACACACACACACACAC